TAGCCTTTAGAGCGTTCAGAATAGCCAAGCATGAAACACTTCTGTACTTTAGAATCAAACTTGTTCAGATTCTCTTTAGTGTACAACATATAACATATACATCCAAAGGATGAAAATAAGAAATGTTGGGTTTTCTGTTCCTCCACAATTCATAGGGAGTCTTTTCCAAAAGAGATCTTACAGATACTCTATTCTGAATATAACAGGCTGTGTTTATTGCTTCTGCCCAAAAATACTTTGCCAGATTAGTCTCGTTGATCATGGTTCTGGCCATTTCTTGCAGAGTTCTATTTTTCCTCTCTACAACTCCATTCTGTTGTGGAGTTCTAGGGCAAGAGAAATCATGAGCAATGCCATTTTCATTAAAATATTTTTCAAAATATTTGTTTTTAAATTCACCATCATGATCACTTCTGACTTTAATAATTTTAAAATCTTTTTCATTCTAGACTTGTTTGCAGAAGTCAAAGAACACAAAATGTGACTCATCCTTGTGTTTTAGGAATTTCACCCATGTCCATCTGCTATAGTCATCAACAATGACCAATCCATACTTCTTACCTCTAATGGATGCAGTTTTCACTGGTCTAAACAGATCAATGTGAAGTAACTCTAATGGTCTTGAAGTTGAAACAACATTCTTAGTTTTAAAAGAAGATTTTGAAAATTTTCCTTTTTGACATGCTTCACAAAGAGCATATGAGTTGAACTTCAACTTAGGAAGTCCTCTGATCAGATTGAGTTTATTAATCTGAGATATACGTCTCATATTAATATGTCCCAATCTTCTGTGCCAGACCCATTTCTCATCATTAACAGACATAAGGCATTTTACGTTCTGAACCTTAAGTTCTGAAAGATTAATTTTATAAATGTTGTTCTTCCTCTTTCTATTAAATAGGATTGAGTCATCCTTCTGACTAACAGCTTTGCAACATTTTTTATTAAAGATTATGTCATAACCATTGTCACTTATTTGACTTATGGACAATAGATTATACTTTAATCCTTCTACAAGTAAAACATTAGATATAGAGGGAAGGTTACCATTGCCAATAGTACCATAGCCAATAATTTTGCCCTTCTGATTCCCTCCAAACTTGACGTCTCCTTCAGATTTAAGCTCCAGGCTTTGGAACATAAACCTTTCTCCCATCATATGATGTGAGCAGCCAGAGTCCAGGTACCATGAACGGCGTCTTGACTTTGCTGCTAAATACATCTGCAACAGGTATTATCTTATCCTTAGGTACCCAGATCTTTTTGGATCCTTTTGGGTTAGTTGCCTTAAAAGTTTGTCTGAACTTCTGTCTTTTTACAACAGGTTTGTTCTGACTAACTTTTGGTTTAAACACAGGAACGTTCTGATCAGAACGTATGTGTTTAATATCATTCAGATGATCAAACTTAAAATGAGAATATAAGGGAGTCTTCTTAATGATAAGTTTATCAACAAGCATTGGATTTAAATCCTTTCCAGAGGAAGATTCATATCCAATTCCTTTCCTGTTGTTTCTGCTAACTCCATAGATCATTGAAGCCATCTTGCTTCTATCTATGCTTTTAGCCAGAAACTTATGAAAACTAAAGTCATATTCTTCTAAAATATTTTTGCATTTTGACTTAGTTTCATATTCAGAGTCTTGTTGAGCTTTTTCAATCTTGCTTTTCATTTTCAAATTATTTTCTTTGAGCTCAACAACTTCTTACTTTAACAGATTATTCTCAGATTCAAGATTGCATTTAAGCTTCTTGCATTTGAGCTTAATCTGGTTATAGTTATTCAGGACTTTTGATAAAACTTTAATAAGTTCTTCCTTAGAGAGATCAGAAAGTACCTTTTCTGAGTCAGATTCAGAATCAGATTTAGATCCAAATGATCCTTCATCCTGATCTTCCACGCCTGCCATCAGAGCCATGTTGGCGCATTCTTCTTCAGATTCTGATGAAGATTTAGATTCATCTGAATGATCCCAGGTTGCCGTTAGAACCTTCTTCTTTTTGTCAAACTTCCTTTTTGGCTTTTCCTTTAGAAGCTTTGGACATTCATTCTTGTAATGACCAGGTTCCTTGCATTCATAGCAAACAACCTCCTTCTTTCCAGATCTTTTGTGTCCAGAGGACTCTTTGCGTTGATCTGGCTTCTTGAAGTTCTTGAACTTCCTCTGTTTGTGCTTCCAGAGTTTGTTGATCCTTCTGGACAGCAAGGACAATTCATCTTCTTCTTCAGAAGAAGACTCTTCAGAACTTTCTTCTAACACCTGCAATGCTTTAACAGATTTGTTAGATTTTAAAGCAATTGACTTACCTTTCTTTTGAGGCTCGTCTTCTTCAAGTTCAATTTGATGGCTCCTCAGTGAGCTGATTAGTTCCTCCAATGTGATCTTGTTCAGATCCTTAGCTAGCTTCAGAGCAGTGACCATTGGTCTCCATCTGATGGGCAAGCTTCTGATGATCTTCTTCACATGATCAACAGTTGAATAACTTTTGTCCAGCACTTTTAATCCAGCTGTGAGGATCTGGAATCTAGAGAACATAGTTTCTATAGATTCAGCGCCAGAGCCTTGGTCTCTTTAACTTGTGAGTTTCCTTCATGGGTCATCTTCAAAGACTCAAACAAATCAAATGTTGTTTCTTTGTTGGTAATCTTCTCATACTCAGTATGCGATATAACATTTAGTAAGATTGTTCTAGCTTTGTGATGATTTCTGAACTCCTTCTTTTGAGCTTCAGTCATATATTTTCTATCAATTTTCTTGCCATCCCCATCAGTGGGGTGAACATAACCATCAATGACTAAGTCCCAAAGATCAGCATCATAACCAAGGAAGAAACTCTATATTCTGTCCTTCCAATAGTCAAACTTCTCCCCATCAAACATAGGGGGTTTTGTGCTGATTCTATCCCTTTCTTCATATCTGTTGTTGCGGTTGGATATTGAAGCCTCAGCCATAATGTATCAATATCAAGAGTTTTCTCACTGGATCTTTTCTGTCACTGTGAAGTGATAGCACACACAGAACCAACACTCTGATGCCAAGTTGAAGGTGAGAAAATACTTAGAAAGGGGGGGGGGGGTTGAATAAGGATTTAGAAAATATTATGGCAATAAAGACACAAAGATTTTTATCCTGGTTCGTTGAACTCAACTACTCTAATCCACCCTGTCAAGAGTGATCTGTCTTTCTCCACAAGGACTTAATCCACTATAATCAAACTGATTACAATACAACCACTAATAGCAACTGTCTTAGTCTTCTCAAGAACTACTGACCACAACTTGGTCTTCTCAAGGAACTTTTACAATTAAATGTAAACTAAACAAGTGTTTGAATGCTTCTAAGAAAGCTATATCACAACTGTGATTTACACTTAAATTTAAGAACTTATGAAAACTATTTAGCAAAGAATAATAATTTGTATGAGAGCTTAGAGAGAGTTTTCAATGAATTGTTCAATTTTTGTCTACTGAAGAAAGTTGTTGAAGTCTTGCTTTTATAGACTTAGAAGTCCAAGACGTTGCAAGCTTGAAGACCGTGTACTGCAAAGTAGCTGTAGCCTTTTGTCTTCACATCACTTGACCTTTCCTAGAAGTAGAACGTTCAGAAAAATCCTTTTTGCCTGAGTTCGTGTGTCTAGCATAAAAGAGGAAATAGTTGTTTGACATAACCAACGGATATAACTTCAAATAATCTTCTTCAACAAGTTTCTGAGTCACAACAATTAACATTAGAGCCTTGAGTGATCAGAGTCTTGATGTCTTCAGAGTTTGCTGTATCAGAGTGTTGCAGCAAGTGTGCTTCAACGTGAAATTAATTAGAGCAGAGTTTGGTGATCAGATCCTCAGTACTTGCAGCGAACAGTACTATCAGAGTTTTCTGAAAAACAGTGCTTGAAACTCTTCATACAAAGTCTTCAGTTTACGCTTCAGATGCTTCTGTAGCTTCTGCTTCAGATCCTTCTGTAGGCAGCGCTCAGAGTCTTCTGTAGGCAGCGCTCAGAGTCTTCTATAGATGCTTCTGACACTTCAGAGCCTTGCGTAGTTTAACGTTCAGATCCATTTTTGCTTTCAAAAGAATATTAAATTTAATATCTGCAGCAAAAGTACTTGAAAAAAATTAGAGTATATAATTTTTTAATACAAAATTTCATAAGTTTTATCATTAAAACATAGAGATATAACTAAGAACCAATATGTGTTCTAACAATCTCCCTCTTTTTGATGATGACAAAAACATAGGAAATTTTGTTCAATAAAAAGATAAATTATAACTCCTCCTGAGATTATGAATCTTCCCCTGAATTGAATATTAAGAAAGAATAGAGACTTTTCCTTTTACATGAGTATTCTTTTTAGAATCAGAGCCTAAATGTTCAAAATTAGAGCTTGATTTGGATGAACATTTCAAAATCAGAGCGTGATTGGTTAAAACTTGATCTGGGGATCTTAGAGTTACTTTAAAGAATTTTGTCAGATTTATCATTATAGTTCTGAAATAATAAAAATTTATTTTAGTTATAGTTTTGATATGTCTGAATTCCACGGTCAGAATTTCATTTTCTCCCCCTTTTGTCATAATTAAAAAGAAAATTTTTAAAGACAAATAAAAAAAAACAAAGAAAAAATATACAATCAGATAGAGAAAACATTTAAATTCATTCATTCATTCAAATAGTTAGATAGAACAGACAAAATTTTCAGATAAAAAATTTAAAACAAGTGCTCAAACATCAAATAAATAAAATATAAATCTAAGACTGTTTGGAAAGAAGCATCTATTGAGTGATATAGGGTTCTTGTTTGAACATCCATTTTTCAATGATCCCAGTCTTGTGATCTTGTTTGAAACTATTTGAAAAGAGTATGGTTTTACTTCTCCTCGTTCAAAACTGAGGAACCTGAACTCCAATTCCGTTGGCAACAGTTTTCGTCACCGTAACCGTTCAACGATCGTGAAGAATCCAATTTCCCATAAAAATACTCAATCCATAAAATTCACATGACCGGCAACGAGTTTCGTTTCTTCCTGTCATGCGATATCAATCTTCCCGTCACCTTCCGCATCGAGCGCCTCGAAGGCAATTTGCCCTTTGCCAAATCCCCTGATTCAGGTTCTTAATTTTCATGTTGTTTAAATTCACCGATATTTCTAATTCTGGGATTTTAATTCAATGTTTTTTTATAATTTAATTGACTTAATGTGTTGTTTGATTAATCAATTTGTGGCGAAATTCCAAAATGTTCATCAGTTAAACTTGATTATCGTGCACTTTAATTTCTTAGTATGTTATATTATGCAGTTACTGATTATGTAAATGGTTGATATGTGTTTTTTATCTTGGTTGTAGAAAATAATGGCTCCACGGATGATGGAACTGCAGAGTTATTTGTGGAGTGTGCCTTGCACATTGATGGAGCACCATTTGGACTTCCTACCAGAACAAGGTAATCATATTGTTATAGAAATATTGAGTTGTTTATATTTCACAGAATTTGTTATAGGGATGATTTGGGAATAAGTTTAATCAGGTGTATGAGAGTTTATGTCAGTAAGCTTTTTGCGTTAGGATGTGTATATGTTAAAATGCCATTGGCATTCTCGATATTTGTTTTCACTGTAACAAAAGAGGGGGGAAGGGACAATTTTGCACATATTAAGAAAAATAACTAATTTTGTATGAGAAAAGAAATTATGAGTACTTTACAAAATTATTCTTCAATAATGAATGAGAAAGAAATTAATAGAATTTGAAAAAGTGAGAGTAATAAATAGTAAAGGGTGAGATAGGAAAAGAAACATTGATGCTTTTATTGATATTGTAAAATGACTTATGATTTGAGACAATTTCTTTTGCAAACTGACTTATAATTTGGGATTGAGAGAGTAGTTGTTAGTAATTTACATGGAGGAATTTGAATCATCTCGTCGTCCTATCTCTCCAACCCCTATGTTGCTCCCCTCAAATCACGAAACCAGCTTATCATAACTGGTTTCATTTTGGGAGTGTCATGTTGTTTTCTCCTGATAGATAGCTTATATTCATTGACCAAACAGCAGTGTGACAATATTATACAGACAATTGTATTTATAGATTTTAATATTTTTAAATCATCTGGTGAAGGTTGGAGTCGACAGGACCATCTTATTGTTGGAATGAGCTCATCACATTGACAGCTAAATATCGAGATTTGACCGCTCAGTCACAACTCACTTTCTCTGTAAGTTGCAATGGCAGCTTATTTGTGTATCTTTCAATATGCATAGATCTTTATCTTGAAGTTTCTACTAGACATTTTTTTGTCCATCATTGAATTAAAGCACGAATATAATTCTTGTTTTTGCTTTAACTTCATAATTCATGTGTTAATTTAATTTTTTTAAAATTTTACTATACAACTTTTGATGTATGATTTTTATAATCTTGTTTGAACAGGTTTGGGATCTTTCTCATGGTGAAGAACTGATTGGAGGAGCCACAATTATTCTCTTTAACAACAAAAAGCAGCTCAAAACTGGGAAGCAAAAGCTTAGGCTTTGGGCAGGAAAAGAAGCAGATGGAACATTCCCTACATCTACACCTGGAAAGGTTAATGTGCATTTTATATGATTATATTCATAGGTATTGCATTTTGTTATGGATCCTTTTCAAATAAACATATTATACTCTGGTATGTCCTCATTAGGTCCCTAGGCATGAACGCGGGGAGCTGGAGCGATTGGAAAAGCTTGTAAATAAGTATGAGCGAGGCCAAATTCAACGAGTGGACTGGCTAGATCGCCTCACATTCAAAACTATGGAAAAAATCAAGGAACGTGAAAGCTTGAAAAATGGTAGTTCTCATTTGTACCTGGTTGTGGACTTCTGTAGTTTTGAGCATCGAGTTGTTTTTCAGGTATTCTTACCTTCTTGCTGTGACACTTCCTAAAGGACTAGTTTGATAGCAATGCCTGTGTTACCCTGTTCAAAGACCGAAAATCATAATATACACTACCTTTTGCGCTTAATTGTATATCTATTTCATCTCACCTAGTTCTAATTTTTTTTGGCATAAGCCACAATCAAATAATTTTAGCAAATAAGATCAAAATAAGCTTTCTATATATTTCTCTATAGTGGTCCTATTGCAGTGGGATTGTTCCTATGTCAATGAGATTTAACTGATTTTTTAATTAAAGATTTAAATATATTATAAAAGGGTTAAAATTGTAAATACAATAGTTTAAATGAAGGGTATAATTTGAAGAATAAGTATTACACCAAAATTAAGTATTCTCTTTATATATAGGTATAGATATTTATTTAAATATTCATATGATGTACTCCCCCATCACCCCAAAATAAACTAACTTGCGTCTTATTGTGCAAGTGGCTTATCAGGAACCTCTATCGTATAGCGTTAAAATCCAATGGATTCTTCCTTTCTACAGTCTATAAAATAGTAGAGTATTTGTTTTTTTTTCTATATTTCTAATGAATTTTAATTTTTTTCCCCTTCAGTTTCTACTTTGTCTACAATGCACCGTATCACCTAGGTGCTTCCAAAATCATTGTTTAAACGAGTTGCTATTCTTCAGAGATATAACTTCATAAACTGTATGCTGCATGTTGCATAACTTGAGGCTGTTCTCCTATTGTCATTCTCACACCAGTATATGATAATATGCTATACTTCTGCCTCAATTTCACCAGAATATAGGATCTCTATATAATGCTGATATAGATCCTACACACGCTTTAACTCGTATCTGTTAAAAAATTTAGGAATCTGGTGCAAATTTTTTGTTGCCATCCCCTATAGCTTCAACCAACGATATTGTTATTGTCTGGGATCCAGAAGTGGGAAAGATTAATCCCTCTGAGCACAAACAGTTAAAGCTGGCCAGGAGTTTGACCCGTGGTGTCATAGACAGAGATCTGAAGCCAAGCTCAAATGAGAGAAAGTAAGCTTAAACTTCCAAATCCAAATATGGTTTACATATTATATCTATGATCAGATTAATGGTATGAAGGATTTACCTTTAGTGCTTCAAATGGTTAAATTGTTAAGTGGCATATCATTAATTATGAAGTAAACACAATTAGCATTTAAATGAAATTTCATTCCCACCTGTGAAATTGGACACTTGTTGTGATCATGCTTCATAGAATGTCACAATTCTGGTTCCCGTTGGTCATATTATCAAAACTAAATGATTTTAGATTTAACGGGTATTTTAAAATCAAGGTTTTGCATATATGTGATCATTTAACTGTTTTGTCTTCTCTTTCATATCAAGGTCCATTCAGAGAATACTTAAGTATCCACCAACCAGGACTTTGAGTGGAGATGATAGGCAGCTCTTGTGGAAATTCCGCTTTTCTTTGATGTCTGAAAAGAGGGCTCTAACAAAATTCCTCCGTTGTGTTGAATGGAGTGATGTACAGGTTAGCCCATTGTTATGTTGGAAATTAGTAATGGATATTATGATATATGGTTTTGGGTATGGGTTTTCAAAAATATATTTATGATATATGACCAGGGTGTTATAGACATGTTAACTTTAAGTTTAATGAGGTATTCTAACGACAATTTACGAAAACCTGAAATATTGCTTCCTCCATCCTGCTCTTGCTCTTCACTGGGAAATAATTCTATAATTTAGTGAAAAAAATTATGCATTGGCCAATGTGCCAACGTTTATAAATGAATTAGGAATCCTAGTGCATCCGATAGGTAAACATTAGCATGTAAGTGGGTTAATCAGGGAGTTAATTATGAGAAATAAGGCATGTTGCCTATAAATAAGAAAGAGGATTGAAAATGGTCTTATCAATTGTCGTAATCTTGGGTTCTTTTGGCATTAAGGGAAGCAGACCCTCGAAGCTCTGCAACATTGTAAATTGTAACTGTAATCAGGGAAGTTTCCTCTGTTTTCTTACAATAAAATACCAGTTCCTATTACATTCCTTCATCAAGAATCAAATTTATTTCCTAAACAGTTTCTACTCATCTAGGGTTTAAGGTTCTGTTCTGCAGATGTTGTGGAAAATATATAGAGAGGAGCATCTAACCATTTGCTGAAAAACATGAACTTAGGGCATTGTCTGACGTCGTTTTTGGGGTTTTATATAATCACATGTGTTAAAATATAGAATAATGGCTATTGTAGTTGTTGCGGTTAGAATATGATATCAAATTATTAATTAATTTGAATCGCATCTTTAGTTCACAACCGCTTTTTGATTTATCCGAAAGAAAATGTCAAAAGAGGAAAACCTAATTTTGCATCGTAAAGACAATATTGGGAGAGATCTAGGTAAGAGGTTGGTTAATCTTAAGGAAGGTATTAACACCCTAAACTTCTGTAGTACTCTACAGAAATCTTTTGTTTATTGTATGCTTTTATTTTATTTTATTACCTGCTTTAATATATATTGAGCTAAGGGATAGAGTGACCAAAAAACCTAAGGGTTAGTCCTAAGTTTACTCGGCAAGACATCAGAGTAATTGTAGTTTCCCTCGAAAGGGAGGTTAGAAACTTCTTGACTGTGGTCAAGGTTTCAATGGGAGTAAACGTATCTTAAGGACACGCTTACGTGGAGTCTTGAAACTCCTATTTCTATGTTGAAAAGTTGAATTAAAATTAGGGTTGAGATTAGGGATTTCACGGCGGAAAACCTGGCTATTAGGGTTTTGAAATGGTCAAAGGTTAGGGTTATTGACTCGATGGTCAAACGGCTAAACCTAATTCTTCGGAAGGGATTCTAACGGCAAATCATGCAAGATATAGCAAATTATTATACGGCAGAAATAAAGTACGAAAAATAATGAAAGCGATAAAAAAAGTATCGCGACGATCACTCGCGTAAATTACAAATCCCAAAAAAATACGAAATAAAAAATAAACCGCGACCATGACCTCGCGTAAATTACATCCATGAGACAAAAACGAATAAATGAAATAATAATAAGCTGAAACAAACAAATTAAGGAGTGTTAGACGAAAAATAAAAAGGACGGGAACGTTAGGAACTTCTTAATTTTTTTATTTTTATTTAAAAGAGAATAATGGATTTCGAATTTTTACTAAAAACAAATGTGTTAATTTCATGGCTATTTTAAGATCTAAATTTAGAAGAGTTCATAACTTTTTGTGAAAAATAGTCTTAAATTTTATTATAAAAAAAAAAGAGTTTAAATTTTTATTATGAGAAAAAATATAGATTTTTTTATTATGAAAACATAATTTATATTTTATTATGAGAAAAAATAAAGCTTTTTTTATTATGAAAAACTGAGTTTTTATTTTGTTATGAGAAAAAAAATAAAGTTTTTTTTTAATGAAAAACAGAGTTTTTATTTTAGATTTATTAAAGGAATAAGATTAATTAAGGAAAATGTTATATTAATTATTACTATTATTAAATCATAAATTAATAAAATAATAAAATAATAAAATAATAACTAATTAATAAAAATAAAGAAAAAAAGAAAAGGAACATAATTGAAAGGGGAGGGCGAAACGAATCATTTGTTATTATAAGGGGTTTTTCATCTTCATTCTCTTTGTCCCACGCGGCGGCCATTAAATCTCCAAAGAGCTTTTCGCTCCATTTTTCCAAAGCTTCTCTCATCGCGTTGCATGTGCGGTTCCTCTCCCGCTGAATGTGTCCCTGAAAAAAATCATGAAAACAAAACCATAAATCAATTGATAAATTTCTTACGGAATAACGGCCGGATTCGAAGCTTCTATCAGACGATGGTGGTGAATCTTTGATCTTGATGACGAAGCCTTGAAGGTTTTTCAAAAATCTCCCCGCTTCTGATAAGTTTTGAGAACGGCCGCCGTTTTTTTTTCCCTTTTGTCTCCTTCCCCCTTTTCTCAAATACAACTTATGTTTATATAGGTAACAAATTCCCCCTTTTCTCAAATACAACTTATGTTTATATAGGTAACAAATTAGGGTTAACTCTAACCTAATATCCACTTTAAAGCCCAACTTAAATAATTAGTCAAAACTAAATAAAATTTAAACAAATTAAAATAAACTTAAAACTCTATTTATTTATACTAAACATTAAATATATTATAAAAAGAATACAATTTTTTCTAATATTTTAAAATTTATGATTTTTGGATGTTTTTATGAATAATATGAAAAAAGTGAAAAAAAAAATAGTCAAAACTAAATAAAATTTAAACAAATTAAAATAAACTTAAAACTCTATTTATTTATAATAAACATTAAAAATATTATAAAAAGAATAAAATCTTTTTTAATATTTTAAACTTTATGATTTTTGGATGCTTTTATGAATAATATGAAAAAAGTGAAAAAAATAATATTTTTTAAAAAATAATTTAAATAAAATACGAAAATAATAATTAAATAATAAAAAAAACTATTTTGTTATTTTTTTTATGAAAATAGAAAAGTTAGAATAAAAATAAATAAAAAATAAAAAATGAAGAAGGTGGGATTCAAACTCTCAGACTCACAACTCCTCACACACACTTTCTTGCCAATTGTGCCATTTTATTTATTCAAAATAAAGTGGCACTAGAAACTATGTAAAGGTAGGACAAATTTGGGGTGCAACAATAGTTAAAGTAGTTAAGAGTTATAAAGGTTAATTAGTTAGTTAATTGGGGTTGTTATAAGACTATTTTTTAAATAAGAGAATACAACGTAGAGTTGATCATTATTGAATATTTGTAAGGTTTGTGAGAAGAGTATTAACTTTATTGGGAAGAGGAAACCCGTGGAGGAGAGATTGATCTCCTATTCTTTTCTATTTCTTAATAAAAGTGTTCTCTCTCTGGAGTTCAATTTCTTGATTCCAAACAATTGGTCCGACCTGCCAGATCTTTGAGGGAAGCTGTCGTTACAAAGTGGGTGAAATCCTCACATGGTTTCGTAAACAAACCGTAGTGTGAAAGAACCACCAGACATGAATCGGAACAGTGAAGAAGATGGGTCTGCAGCAGAGAATCGGAGGGGAATTTTGTGCATGCTATTGATGCTTCCGCCACTGAAACCACCAGATGGTGGTACACACACAATAACTATGGAGATTTGAATTTCATTGGAAGCAGCTGATTGGGAATGCTCTAGGGAGAGCAAAACCAGTTGGGCATGCATGCAGGAACCGGAAGACTAGATCAAAGCTGGAAAACCAAGTCATTGCAGAACATTGGAAAAATCACATGAAATATGTTCTGCCATCAGGCTCCCAACAGTGGGATCCTGGGGGACAAAATCATTCACTGAAGTTGGTGAATAGAGTAGTAACACTATTGTGAAGGGGAAATTCTTAGAGGAAGGATTTTTCTCTTATTCTTTCATATTTCTTAATAAAAGTGTTCTCCTTTGGAATCCAATTTCTTGGTTCCATTAAAAAAAGAAGTTTTTTTTTTTATACCAGCTGAAATGTATTTGAGTCTTAGACTCCTAGTTATCATAAGATAGGTATAATACAACAACATAAACCAACAAAGATTTAAAGTGTGAACCCATTGAAAAAGATTTAGGTTTAAATGGCCTCTCAAAAATTTGGATTTTGGCATATCAGTGTTTTATTTGATCCACTGGGCTGAACCCCTGTAGTGGGAAAATATTTTTCCTATTGTTGATTGATTTTGTTGTTTCTTGAATAATTATCTTGTTATCCCTCTCAGTTTTTCTCCATATTGTTGAGTTCTTATCACTAAATAACAGCTGTAGAAATTCCAATATTTATAATGCTGGTTTAATGCAGGAAGCAAAACAAGCGCTAGAATTGACGGGCAAGTGGGAAATGATTGATGTTTGTGATGCACTTGAACTTTTGTCTCCGGTTTTTGAAAGTGAAGAGGTAATTATGTAGAGTAAAGAAATATTTTAGGAAATTGTATTGGTGTGTCTTAGTTTAGGTCTTTTATTTATATTCAGTAGCAGTGCAATATAGTGCAAAAGATATCAACAACTTTCACACATCAATCATGATCATAATAATATTCTTTGCACATTAATCATATGTGAAATGCATTTAACTCTCAACACACATATAGAGAAGGTTTCTTTTCAATTTTCCTACAAATAGTTTTAAAAAAATAAATACTAAAAAAATCATCAGATAGAAGAGAGGAAAGTTACGAGGGACTGGGGCGAGGATTGAATAAAATATTTCCACTCTAGTTACAACAAATCAACCCTATTTGTCAGTAAGTTAGAAAGTGTAGCTCCTTTGATATAGCTATGAGTTTAACACCATAGGGGTCATAGACATGACCCTATATGCCATAGAAAATGTAGGGGCAAAGATGCCAAACTGCAAAATGTACCCTCGGGTCTCAGTATAGATGTATTGCTTGCAACTTCTTTTTTTTTCTCAAGCAGAAATTTGTATACCTATTTTCAGGTCCGTGCATATGCAGTGAGTGTTCTTGAAAGAGCCGATGATGAAGAGCTTCAATGTTACTTGCTTCAATTGGTTCAGGCTCTTCGGTTCGAGCGATCTGACAAATCTTGCCTTTCTCATTTTCTTGTCCAGCGGGGTATGTGCATGAGGGAGTAAGTGCTACTTATGGTTGTATTTGGCTCTTGTCTGAAAGACACTTTTAATTTTGACAGCATTAAGGAATATTGAATTGGCAAGCTTTCTTCGCTGGTATGTGACTGTTGAACTTTATGACCCTGCATATGCAAAACGATTTTACTGCACATATGAAATTCTGGAGGAGAATATGATGAAGGTTTGAACTCATAAAAATTTCTTAATACTTGAATTTGAGTATTTACTTTAGTAAATTATGCTTCTTGATGCTTATTATCATTATAACTATTTTGCCTCGTAGCTGTATTTGGAAAATGTGTTTGACGGGATATTATGTGTTCCTTTAATGTCTTTATTTGGAAAATGTGTTTGACGGGATACTATGTGTTCCTTTAATGTTGCAAATCTGGAAATATAGCTAAGCCATTTCTGCTTCATTTGTATTCCCACAGTAGAAACTATTTTCATGTTTTAACACAAGAGATTCATTCGTGAACCAGAAAAGGTTGTGTATGTAACCTTCTATTTGATTTCATTTGTGGAGCATGGAAAAGTCTTGATTGTACTTCATGTTACAATTTTTTTATAAAGGAATCTAATTGACATCAGTCTTGCAATATATTAAGCTTTATTAATAAATTAAAGATGGTGAAAGTGCTAGTTAGAATAGTTACTTAATTCTGGAATCTAACTATACCCTCCTGCAAATCTCAGATGGGAGCTGGTGTGAATGGAGAGGAAGATGGATTTAAACGGTGGCAGAGTTTGGTACGACAGACAGAATTAATCGCTCAATTATGTTCAATTACTAGAGATGTTGGGAATGTCCGAGGTAACACACAGAAGAAGATTGAAAAGCTTAGACAGCTACTCTCTGGTCTTCTAAGTGAACTTACATATTTTGATGAGGTATTGGTCTAAGACGATGTTGTGAAGTCATTTATTGTTGTATCTTCTCTTTTCCGAACTTAAATAATTGATACATCTGGAAGAAACTAATTTCCAACAACTACATCTCATGACTATTTAGAAAGTTTCTGACGTATACTTACTGATGCAATGTTTCATCTGTAGCCAATACGATCACCTCTGACACCAGATGTGCTCATCACTGGGATTGTGCCCTCTGAGTCATCAATATTTAAAAGTGCATTGCATCCTTTGCGTCTTACTTTTAAAACAGCAAATGGTGGAACCTGGAAAATCATATTTAAGAAGGGGGATGATCTTCGCCAGGACCAGTTGGTATTACTGCAAAATCGTCTTCTTACATCCTGTGTGTATGCTTGCAAATGGATATCTGTGTGTGTGCAATGTACATGTGTGCAGTGGCACACCAAAAACACATACCTACACACACACAAGCACTATTTCATGCATTTGTAGATAAATTTTCAGGAAACACGAGTTCAGTTACATAAATATTTGACCTTTTGTAGGTTGTCCAAATGGTATCACTAATGGATCGATTGCTTAAGTTAGAAAATCTTGACCTGCATTTGACGCCATACAAGGTTCTAGCAACTGGGCAAGATGAAGGCATGATGGAATTCATTCCATCCCGTTCTTTGGCGCAGGTAGGATAATTATTTAAACACTTTTTCTTTATTAGTATGTAGTCACCGCTTCCTCTTTCGGTAACTGGGATTTTCTTCTAAATTGATATTCTACTAGTGTTTTACTTTTATTTTTTATATTAATTCTTTGTGAATCCACGCGGTACAATAAGGCTTGGTTGTTATTGTTGTATATTTTGAATGTGAAATGTTTGACATACAGTAGTAACCCTATTTACTTTGATAGCTTTCAACAGCGTAGAAACCGGTGTTTCTGTCTGCGTGTCATGAATTATGAATCTTATTATATCTTGATTTCGTATCTGCTTGCGTTTGTGATTAATTTGAAATTATCAGTAGATGGAATTAATAATTGTTCATGATCTTTAAGCATTTAACTTATTACTTGTAGAAAATGTTTAAAACCTATGAATTTTTGTACATCACTAGTTTTCAAATGGAGAGTTGATTAATGTATTGTTAGGAAGCTCTATGTTTGGTTGCTATTATTCTTATGAAAAATTTATTTTCATCTTTTACTATTTGTTATTCAGGTGGTGTTTAGAAAATGATTCACATTTCCTTTTCAAGAAAAGGAAAAGAGTCATATTGAATAGGAACTCAAATGCATGTCAGTTGGTAGTTTTTTTTTGGGGTTCCTTTGATAATATTGGGTGCTGAATTTTATTAATTGCATATTTTAGATGTATCCTCAACTCTCTTTTCCTCCCTTTATAGGACAATTGTTTCGATGATTCATAAACGATCATGTTAATTGTAGGATATTCAATCTTCCTGTTGATTGATTATTAATGTAATCCTCTCATGTCTAGATTTTATCCGAGCATCGCAGCATCATAAGCTATTTGCAGAATTATCATCCTGATGATCATGGACCTTTTGGAATTACAGCCAACTGTCTTGAAACGTTCATAAAAAGCTGTGCTGGCTATTCCGTTATCACTTATATACTTGGTATTGGAGACAGGTGATTCTTGATTTTATTTATCATACATGATTTTCTGTCTATGTAATGATGTTTATGTTTAGAAAATGAATTATGCTTACTGACTGTATTTATGTTGCTTATTTGCCTTTTTTCAGTTCCACTGTTTTTTAGCTTTTGAGGAAGATGTCTCTTTCTTTGCTTGTGTTTTTTCTATTTTTTTCTTAGTAATAAAATTTAATTGATTAAAAACAGATACATGAACTTAGTTTGGTATTGTTAAAATATTTACTCAATACTTGAAGAAAAAACTATCTCAACTGTTGAGATGTTTTGTTTGTCGAATTGAGTTATTACGTTTAGAGAAAATTGCATTCACCGCCTAGGAGTATCAGTAGGTTCGATCAAACCTGAAAAATATTATTATATTGGCTGATCAGCGATACCCCACTGGTTCGCTCTCGTAATCGTGTTCGTGAAATTCTTTCGTTTGAAATCGAAACCTTGCAGCTGTCTGAGATTCTAAATCTTTGGTTGCCGGTTCGTGATTTCGTCTTGGAGATTCTCGTTGTTGCGCTGATATTGCAATCATTTTTTTTTGGTTCTTGGCTGTTGTTGCTTCGTGATTCTGGATCGTCATAATCTTCTGTTTTGCCGCTCCTTCCAAATCGTGGATTTGATCGTGCTGTTTTTCGTTGGTTCGTGGGTATTGTTTCTTGTTGCTGCTCTAGTAACTGTGATTACAGTTTATGTTATTATATTATAATAATTATTATTATTATTATTATTTTTATAATTATTATTATAATAATAATAAAATAATATTAGTGAGATTGTATCTGGTGGCTTAATAATTTAGATGGCTTCCGAAAAAGAAAGAGATAATTTTTGTGTTCGTTTTACCGGCAAGAATTATTCGGAATGGGAATTTCAGTTCAAGATGTATGTTAAAGGAAAGGGATTATGGAGTCACTTAGATGATGTTTCTAAGGCACCAACGGAGAAAACTGCTTTAGATGCGTGGGAAACTAAAGATGCTCAAATTATCACTTGGATTCTAAACAGTATTGATCCTCAGATGATAAATAATTTGCGTTCTTTTTCAACTGCTCAAGAAATGTGGAATTATCTGAAGCGCATTTAAAAACAGGACAATTCGGCAAAACGTTTTCAGTTGGAGTTAGACATCGCCAACTAGAAACAAGGTGATTTGTCTATTCAAGAATACTATTCTGGTTTTTTTGAATCTTTGGGCAGAACACTCTGCTATTATACATGCTAATGTTCCCAAGACCTCTCTTGCGGCTGTTCAAGAGGTCTACAACACAAGTAGGCGAGATCAATTCCTCATGAAGCTTCGTCTAGAATTTGAGGTTGTCAGAGGTGCTTTGCTAAATAGGAATCCTGTTCCTTCTTTGGATACATGTGTTGGTGAACTTCTCAGGGAGGAACAACGTCTCCTTACTCAAGGAACCAGTTCCTTCTTTGGATACATGTGTTGGTGAACTTCTCAGGGAGGAACAACGTCTCCTTACTCAAGGAACCATGTCTCATGATACTGTCAGTTCTGAGCCTGTGGCAATTGCATATGCTGCTTAAAGTAGAAATAAAGGTCGTGATATGCAACATGTCCAATGTTTTTCTTGCAAACAGTTTGGACATATTGCTCGTAGCTGCAGTAAGAAGTTTTGTAATTATTGCAAACAACAAGGTCATATCATTTCTGACTGTCCCACGCATCCTCCACGACCAGCACATCACTCGGTGAAGGCATTTCATGCCACTACAGGTCATACAATTGGCTCTTCCACCACTGGTGCATCAGATGGCAATGCTCTACAACATGAAATGATTTAACACATGGTACTTTCTGCCCATTCAGCCTTGGGTATTAAGGGTAAGTCTTCTCATGTTTCTCGTCCATGGTTTATTGATTCTGGTGCATCCAATCACATGACAGGTTCATCTGAAAACTTGTACAATTTACATTCTTATCATGGTAATCAGAAAATTCAGATTGCTAATGGTAATACCTTGTCTATCACTAACGTTGGGGACATAAACTCGGATTTTCAGAATGTGCTTGTCTCACCTGGACTTGCTTCTAATTTATTGTCTGTTGGTCAATTGGTGGACAATAATTGTAATGTTAATTTTTCTCGGTCTGGTTGTCTTGTGCAGGAGGAGGTGTCAGGGAAAGTGATCGCGAAGGGGCCTAAAGTGGGAAGATTGTTTCCAATACAATTTATTTCTAATCATTTGTCTCTTGCTTGTCATAATGTTTTGAATTCCTATGAGGATTGGCATAGAAAACTAGGTCATCCAAACTCTTTTGTTTTGTCTCATTTATGTAAAAGTGGCTTGTTGGGAAATAAAAATGTTATTCCTGATGCCTCTGTTTCATGTTCTGTTTGCAAATTGGCTAAAAGTAAAACACTTCCTTTTCCGTCTGGTGCTAATCGTGCTTCCACTTGTTTTGAGATGATTCATAGTGATGTATGGGGAATGTCTCCTGTGGTTTCTCATGCTCACTATAAATATTTTGTCACATTTATTGATGATTATAGTCGTTTTACTTGGATATATTTTCTCCGTTCTAAATCCGAAGTGTTTTCTATGTTTAAGAAATATTTGACATATGTTGAAACTCAATTTCAAGCAAGTGTTAAAATTTTTCGATCTGACTCTGGTGGTGAGTACATGTCTCATGAGTTTCAGGAATACCTTCAACAAAAAGGCATCTTGTCTCAACGGTCTTGTCCCAATACCCCTCAACAAAATGGCATGGCAGAACGTAATAATCGTCATTTGCTTGATGTAACATGCACCTTACTTCTCCAAGCTTCTGTACCATCCCGATTTTGGGTGGAGGCTCTTTCCACGGCTGTCTTCTTGATCAATCGTATTCCTTCTACAGTTATTGATCTTGATTCTCCTTTCTTCCGTCTATTTAAAATTCATCCTGATTACAGTGCTTTACATACTTTTGGCTGTGTGTGTTTTGTTCACTTACCTCCTTTTGAAAGGCATAAGCTTGGAGCACAATCCGTTCAATGTGCATTTATGGGATATAATAACTCTCATATGGGATTTGTGTGTTATGATGTCTCTAACCATCGTTTTCGCATTTCTAGAAATGTGACATTTTTTGATAATCAGTTTATGTTTCCCTGTGGTTCTCCTGCCATTAATGATATTGTTACTCTTCCTAAGTTTTCTATTATGCCTCAAGCTATAGAACATTATAAACCAGGTCATGTATATGTCAGAAAACACAGACAACAGGTTTCCACACCCCTTCCCGATGCTGAACTGCCACCTGATCCTGTACCGGTTGAACCATGACGTTCTGGTCGAATATCCCGCGCACCAGATAGATATTCACCAGACAGGTATGATTCCTCACATACTTCTCTGACTGCCACACTCTCTAGCATATCTATTCCTACTTGTTACTCACAGGCTGTTAAAGATGTGCGATGGATAAAAGCAATGACTGAAGAGCTCCAAGCTCTTCAAGAGAATTTCACATGGGATATCGTCACCTGTCCTCCAAATGTAAAACCTATAGGTTGCAAATGGGTGTATTCTGTGAAACTGAATTCTGATGGGTCCCTCAACCGTTACAAGGCTCGTTTGGTTGCGTTAGGAAACAAGCAGGAATATGAAATTGATTATGATGAGACATTTGCACCGGTTGCCAAAATGACAACTGTCCGCACGATCATGTCTATAGCTGCTTCTAATGGGTGGACTCTTCATCAAATGGATCTGAAGAATGCTTTTCTTCATGGTGACCTGACAGAAGATATTTATATGACTCCACCTCAAGGCTTATTCTCTTCATCTAAAGGCGTGTGTAAGCTCAAACGCTCCTTATATGGTTTGAAACAGGCACCTCGAGCATGGTACGAGAAATTCCGCTCCACTATACTTGGATTCTCCTTTACTCAGAGTCAGTATGATTCATCTTTATTTATTCATAGCACATCTGCGGGTATTGTTCTGCATCTTTTGTATGTTGATGATATGGTTGAAGGTGAGATAATACTTAGAAGGGGGTGTTGAATAAGTATGAAAGATTAAGACTTAAAAAATAATCACACAATTATTTTTATCCTGGTTCGTTTAAACAACTACTCCAGTCCACCCTTCCTAGAGTGATTTGCCTTTCTCAACAAGGACTTAATCCACTATTAAATCAAACTGATTACAATAGTCACACCTAAGAACAACTGCTCTTAGCCTTCTCAAGAGCTACTGATTCCAACTGAATCCTCTTAAGGAAAAGCCTTTACAATCAATGTAAATTAAATACAAGAGTATTAATGCTTCTATAAAGCTTTTATCACAACAGTGATTTTTCTCTTAAGTTTAAGTACAATAAATTCTAAGAAGAATATGAAAGAATGAGAGCTTAGAATAATATGATTTCTTTTCAGCAAATTGTGTAACTGAAGAATGTGGTGAAGTTCTCCTTTTATAGGCAGCTGATCCAAGGATGCTGAGCGTTGAAAAGAGAGTCCCAAAAAGGTCTGAGCCTTTTTGTCTTCACATCAAGTGACCTTTCCTAGAAGTAGATGGCATAGAAAAATCCTTTTTGTCTGTGTAAGTGTGTCTAGCACAAATGAGGAAAGAGACGTTGAATAACTCCAACGGATATATTCTTGAATATTTCTTCTTCAGTTTTCAGCAAGTTCTTCAGAGTCTGAATGGATCAGAGTCTTCTAATGATATTCAGAACTTTGCTGTATCAGAGTCTTCTGCAGCATGTGTGCTTTCAGCGTGTTTGATCATCAGAGCATATTTGACACATAACTTCTGTACTTGGCAGCGTTGGTACTTTTAGAAACTTCTGTAGAATTATGCTTTGAGAAACTCTTCAATCAATATTCTTCTTTGCTTCAGATGCTTAAGCTTCAGATGCTTCTGACTATCTTCAGATGCTTCTGACTCAGAATGTTCTGGACCTTCTTGCTTCAGATCCTTCTGGAGACTACGCTCAGGATCTTCTGTAAGGAGCAATCAGATTCTTCTGTAAG